CTTAACTATTCATATGAAATACTCATTATATATTCATTATGATACAAAACAAATATAAACAAGTGCATTTGTAGCTGCACATCAAAGGGTACACCACATACCCACATAAAAAATTAGATGACCCACCCACACACACCAACGGCACCCACACCACCCACCTGTAAGTGACCCATGCCCACACAATTCTACCCATCTATCTGCAGCCACATCCTCAAATATCAAAATATTTAGCTTCACCTTTACAGTAACCAAGGAGTCAATTTTTAGTTTCTACATATATATATATATTTGTGCCGGTGAGCCAATCAATTGTCGTTTCGTCATATTGAGGCACACGTAATGCCAACTGTCGTTTCTTTAAGATTGCTAGAGGATATCACTGAACAGGCTAATCAAATGTCGTTTATCACATCATGTTGGAGGATATCAACAGGCCATCAAATGTCGTTTATCATATCAGCAGAGTATATCGACTGCATGGCTAATCAAATATCATTTCGTATCATATTAGGAAGATATATAGTGACGAGCCAATCAAAATAAGTTGTTTCCTCATATCGCGTTAGCAGGGTATCATCATACTGGCCAATCAAAATGCCCGTTACGACTAAATTGAAGGGAGAAATGACAGAGTGTTAAGTACGAGCTTTTAATAATCTGGAGGCCAGAGATCATTTTAATGCGATGAGACAATAATTGAGGTATTATGAAGTGAGTGACCTTATAATGATGATATTAGTATTATTTATCGTTTATCAAAAATATGTTGATAAAAAAAAAATACTGTACCAAGTCAGTTATTTCACGTCGATAGAATATTTGTTTTTTCTTAAGATTTATATATATATATATAACTACTATATCGTCATATTTGTTTTTACCCAATAGGAAGAAATAAAATATAATTTTTTCTTACTTATTGTAAATTTTGCACGTTAATTTTATTCAGAAAGCAATATGCTACTGATTTTTTTGTGTCGTTGATTGCATATGCTATTAATAAACTTTTTTTTTTCTAGGATGAATCATGATAACTTTAAATTACAAAACTGGTTAAAACTCTCGATTAAAAATGTTTAGTAAATGATTTTCGCCCAGGATGGATTAGGTTAGGAAATATCAATGTTTTTCTAGAACGTAACTATGTTAATTAGGGGAATTTTTTTTTTCCTATAGAGAAATATTTTGTTCTGGGGAGGGGAGGGTGTGAACGTCCGATGGTGACCTTTTCTGTAGAGGCTTTTTACCGAGAGAGAGAGGAGAGAGAAAGAGGAGAGGAAAAGGAAGGATTTGAGATGGGATAGAGAAAAAGATAGAATAAAGAAGACAGGGAGAAAGAAAGAAAGAAGAAAGAAGAAGAAGAAGAAACAGCCCCAGATAATTAATTAGGAAGACTTGGGTCAGCGCCACCACCTCAAATTGCCACACACAAATTGTGCCTGAATTTCTTATTGTATGTTAGTCCTAAGTTATCTAACAAACACACACAATCACATATACAGGTCAACCGCCGCGAGCGTCGTTGCCATATGTGAGGCTTGGCAAATTGTGCCTGAAACGTGTCATATTGAGGGATATCAACTCTTTCATCACCTTCGTTTACAAAGACGCGGAGGGGGCGTTGCCCTCTTCTGTCAAGATGACCTACGCCCGTCACGCCTGGATGTTCAAGTCCCAGCAGATGTGGAAGCATTATGGGTACGTGTCGTGCTACGGGCCCACCCACGCAACACTGCATCCATTATAATCTGTGTGGCATACCATCCGCCTCGATCACCCACCAGAGTCACTCTTATCAATCATCTCATCACCACCTCAGACCACCTCAGAGTTAGGTACCCATGTGCCAAGTCAGTATTATGTGGGGATTTAAATGAAATTGACACCACTGATATCCAGGACCAGCTATCACTATCACAAGTTGTGACCTTCCCCACACACGGTCAAAATACCCTTGACCTTATCTAAACTGACTTAGCGGACCAGTACCAACCACCTCAACCAATGCCTCCTATCGGGTGTAGCACACACTTATCAGTGCTCTGGTCCCCAGCTGCCAC